AGAGTGTATAATTGGGTGGGATCTCTTTCTATCAACTAATTACTCCCACTTTCATCAATTATTGCTTGTTTATACATTTTATTATTAATTAGCCCCATCTATCCATGTTCTTACTGTTAGTTTGTAGTGGTTATACATTTAAAAATGTTATCCTCCCTCCACAATTTAAAGCCAGTAGTTTGGACAGGTATAACATTTTTATTTTACTTAAATTGAAAAAAAGGTAGAAAATAAATTTACTTGAGTTATTCATATATGTTTAGAAATATAATATATTTTAATTACTTTAAATGAAATTGCTATGATGTAAATAGTTCACAACACTAGGTACTTATTGTAAAATAATTTAAAGATAAAAGTGCATGTTAACTCGAATTCGCCTGACACATGATAGGTGATTTTTTTTGTCGAACTTAAGTCCTAATTAATATTTTTAACAGTTAATATCAGGATATTTGAAGTTAAAGGCAAATATATTATGTTTTAATTATTATCTTAAAAGTAAAATTGATATGACAAATATAATAGAATGGTAGATGCTTTTTAAAATATAATTCAGGAATAAAAATATATATATCTCATCCCTTAAAAAAAGAGAGTGGTTAATGTCTTCTGTAAAGTCGTAAAGGAAGAAGAAGAAGGATATTTTCAATAAAAGGATCCGAGGAAGCAAGCTCTTATGGTGATCTTCAATTCAGTTAAACTCAACCACACGGCTTCCATAATTGGAGGCATCGTGGAGAAATTAGAAGTCAGAGCGTACGATGAGGCGAGTTGGTAAGTAGGGCTCACATGAAAAGACGATCCCAGGGGACGTGAAAACAAAAAATGAGGAATGATCCTCCAAAATCAGAGGCCATAATAATGATAGTGATTTGTCGCGAGCTTCCACTTTCGGGAGCGGCGTCAGCAAACGTTAGTGAAAGGGTGGAAGTGTGAACTATTAGAAAATGGCAACAGTGCATCTCTCATATGCTCTGTTATACGTACTCTCATTTCAATCAACATTTTCTGTTGAATTACGTTTGGTAATTAATTCTGTTTTAAAAAATAATGGTAGCATCCACCAATCACCGCCCTCCGATCCCACTGAGTTTTAATTAGTGTCATCTTATGAAATCCAATACAACTGGGGGTGGACTTTAGATGCTCAGCAAAACCGCGATCCAGCTAATAATCGCCTCCCAACGTACCCCTAATGGTCCCCCACCCCCACCTGCTCTCTCTTCTTTATCTTTCTCCAAAACACTTCTCAATGCTTTTTATCAGTGAAAGCTAGTTGTCAAGCCGTGAGGCGTACACATCTCAGTACTCTCTTTCTAGTTTCTAGGGTTAAAAAATTCACACCTCTTCAAATTAACAAGCATCCTCCTATGTAATCTAATCATACACCACATCTTTCCTAATCACATGGTCTACATACCACGAATTAATTGTACATTGATCCTCATTTATTAACTATAGATCACAGCTTTGAAAACAAAGTGAAAGGAAACAAATAATCCAAGTCATCTCGAATTAGTTCAACTGTATAAATAGAAGTTAAGAGTCTAAATCCTTTTGATGTAATTAAAAAAATTATATATATACATATATAATATAAAAATTATAACAAATCACATTACATAAAACTGATGAGTCATTATTATTAGAACTCGTTGCTCATGTATACACACACCATTGCTTTAGTATATAAATTGATCATCAGAAGTCATGCAATATTTCTTGAGATTGAGATATATACCTTACATATTTTTTTGTTAATACAATAGAGGGCCCAGGTCGCGCCCAGGATTAAAGCACCAAGACATAGGGGATTGGGGCTCCGAAGACTCGATCTGCACTAGGGTACGTAAATGAGCCAGGCCGTTAAGTCCATTTTTTAACTAATGCATCCACAACTCTATTCTTTCCTCCTGAAATATGAAGAATCTGCACCTGCCAAGACTACTTTTAACACAATGTCCCGAGCCAACGTAAGGCCCCTCAGCACTGCCCATTCTTCACATTTATTAAGGTAAGCTTTAGATTAATATAGTTGGATTTGAGTTTTAAATTTAAAATCTTACATTTCAAATATCACATTTAAAATTCATATATTTAAAATTATTTATTTAGGTATTTTAAAAACCTTCAAATAAAAAATTAGGCGAATTGATATTTCAAATAAAAATAATAAATAATAAATAATAAAGTTAATCTCTATTTTAATTTTAATTAATGAGAGGTGACAATTAAAGTCTAAAAAAGATATATATAAAAGCTTTAAATAGATCAATAGTAAAAACACAAAAAAAATAAAATATTTGAAGTTGTTTGTAAATTTCAATTATCACGGTATAAAAAAAATTTAAAATTATAAAAGAATTGTGATTAGATATGAATTTAAATTTAAATAAAAATTAAATTTATAAATTTTAATGTATTCAAATGAAAGGTTTATATTAAATTTAAATTTAAATTTAAATTTTTATTGATCCAAACCCATCATAAAATTGCAATTACCCAACAATTCAAAGTGCAAGGAAGATGAAGAAGGCCGCCAGTTACTTTATTAGAAACGTTAAAGCAGGAGATCGAAGCCGCTTGGCATCCCTCAATCATGATAGTGCCTCAAAGAAATATGGTGACGCCACAATGACGTGCATTTGCAGATGGGATTAATCGAAGCGAGTTATTCCTGAGACAGGTGCTCGATGCACAGAGGACAGAGGACGAATTTGAATAAGCTTGTAGTTAGATCATAGCTGATATTTATTTGTCTAAATATCATAAGCATGTGATAGTCTGACAGATGACAGTAGTGAAAATGAATGCCTAGAAGAATGAAATCAAATGTAGGGCAGGGGGCTTTAGCCACTTCTCAATGTCATTTTGTTCACTCTTGTATAATTAATAAATTAGTATATCCAAGATTGATAGCAGATACGTCACACCATGGGCATGCTCCCCTTGCGTATATTACTTTTTTTTTTTTCGGGGACCACTGATACACACTTCTTTAAACGTAGTTTATTATGCTAATTAATTATAAGGGCCCCGCAGGCAGGAATAATTATGTTAGAGGAAGGCTTTTTGGATATATAAATGGTGAAATGCAATTCATTTCTTGATTGTATGTGCAAGCCAGAAAGGCCTGGCCATTCCTTGCTAGAAAGGAAACTAAAAATGCCAAAGCCAAGAAATGCAAGCAAGAACAGGGGCATTATTGAAGAGAAAGAACATGAATTTAAAAGATGGAGGGGTAAGCGTGGGAGAATTTTATAATGGTGAGGATGAAATGTGGGGAAGGAATCAAGTAAAGGCAAAGAGTGAGAGCGATAGATTGGCGTGAATGCCTCCGAGAGAGGAAGAACGCGTGGGGTTGTGAAAAGTTGGGAATAAAGTGAAGTTTTAGACTCACTCGAGTTGGATGGGATTCCTTTATTATTAGGATTTACTTTAGAAGCTGACTCGGACGAGATCTTAAGCTTTACAATTCCCGTGCGGCTCTTAAAGGTACGAGGGTTCACAAAAAGAAGCAACCACTTGCAACTGCCCTCCGCTTTGAGCTTTGGGTAAATTCTCTCTTGCTGGCCTACTCCTAATCATGATCCATGCTAGAGATGGAATCGAATCTGTTATTTGATTTCACTTTCATATTTAGGCTCTCCCTGGTCCCACCGGGTACTAACAAGTGACCAATCCTCAAAGAAAAGTTAAGGAGCGATATGTGATTGACTCGTGATGATGGATGGGACTTTGGTAAGCTCCGATCCATGCAGGAAATGAATGCGTGATGTGTCGAGTCCGAGCGGGTAGAGGAGTCCGGGAGCAGACAAGACTCGTTACATTTTCATTCAACACTAAATCATCAACAAAGGCAAAGGGAAAATGGGAGTCAATAAATGATGAAGGGTGGGCGGCGGACTCATCTACTGCCGCTACATTGGGGTTCACGTTACCTGATCAATGGTTCTGACGATCTGAGAGATATGCCTCATTCTCGCGGTTTTGCTCATGGCTTCCGTCAGATCGCTCGGTGAACAGTACACTCATCCGACTCAACGCCACCCAATAAGTTATTTTTTAACTAACTTAATAAAATCCAAACACTGTAATTGAAATAAAAAGTGAGTCGAATTAAGGTTTAAATTCTTATTAAAAAAAATACTCACATCTATCATATCTTAAATAATATTGCTTTTAATAAAAATAAATTTATAAATAATAAAAAAAATTGTCTTAAAATTAAATTACCTTTCAAAACATTATCAAAAGGATATTTCTGGAATGAATTATTAAACGCTTTGCAAAATGATTAAAAAGTACTTATATTAAAAACTATGATTTTTTTCTGAAATACACACAATACCAATATACAAGATTGGAGGGAGTGTTCCATATCCCCTTAGCTTCCCCCTAAAACCAATTCACCACCCAAAAAAAAAAAAAAAAACCACCCCTCAATTTCAAACTAAATAGATGCCTGCAAAGCAAAAGGCAACGGTAAAATATACAATAAAAAAGCCTAGTAATTTTCACTTTTAAATTTATTTTTATGCTGATTACTCTAATCGAATAAACTACACAGTTGATTTTAAATTTGATACATTATTACATAGAACGGGTTTGCCATCAGATAACCTAAATACTTTTTAAAAATCCATATTGTAGGAAATAGAATCTGATGTATTAATAATGTATTTTGATATTACGTGCATCAACCTGATTATTAATATTGATTAATTTTCAATTTTTTAAACATGTCTTATTGTATAGTATTTTCTTATTTTTAATAAATATATCAATGTGTCATTTAAAATTAACAAAGTGACAACATTGCTTCATGATGACATGCGTTGCACCATAAGGTGCCTAGTACCTCTCAAAATAAATCAAGGGACAAAATTGGTCTTTAACCACCTTAAATATCACAAATTGCATGCTATGGAAGAGGATTCATTTTGGCTTGATTATGCCAAGGGGCGCCCAAGATGGTGCTTGAGAAGTTAACGAAGTACAATAAGAAACAGAATACTATTTGAAATCACTTAATATGGAATTACAAAACCTCCCCTTGCAGACTAGACTAGATCATAATTTCCAAAAAAGTAAATCAATACATAATCGGCTCTCGCGGTGCCAAGAATATCTGGGTAATTCCATGGGTTAAGCATGTCCATAACATGTTTAAACCTGCCCTGCCCGTGGAAACGAGATCAAAGGCTGACATATCGTAACAAGAAGAATCAGGACTACGAAGATTACAAATGAGCAAATCTAAATTTGCATTAAGAAAATCTCATACGGTTTACGGGTTCTGCTTACCAAAATCTGTGATACAAAAGCAAAATCCAAGCTAGCCTTTTCTACATCTTCCTCCTTAATCGTAAGGAATTTGGATGTATGCGGCATCACATACAAAAGGAACATCAGCATACATCCCAGCAAGAGCACACCGTATACACTCCAACACTGTAAACAGGTAGGCAAAAGCTACAGCTGTCCAGAAATGCATTCCTAGTTTACCCCAGTAAATTGCTAGAGGCATCCAACGGCTCACTGTCCCTATCACCTGAAGTGAAATCTCCAATAACATTCCCATCACAACATGGAACCGGAAGAAGTGAGGCCACTCTTTTCTCCTCACAATTCCGAGATATGCAACAAAAAAGTAAGCCATGAGGAACCAGCCCGGCAGACTCCCAATTGCCATAAGGAAAGGGTATGTCATGAATTCAAAGTTTTCCAGAAAGGGGTGAAGATGGTATGCTGTCTCAGCGTACATCCATGTCTCATGAAGAGGCATAAGGTATGGGAGGCATGCAAGAGTCCTCCACCACCATCTCGGCTTTTTCGTCATGGCAGGATAACGGAAGCTATATGGGACATCCTTTGATGCTTGAGGAACCACACAAAACCTTTTTTGCCTAGATGGCAGGGGGATTATGGGATACAGAAGACGAAGACTTTGACCCCCAGTTAAATGTAGGCTTGATGCAGCAGAGATGTTTGAGCAAGGCATTCCTGTGAGAGGAATTTAAATGAAATAAAAATATCAAGCACGATTATTACAAAGATTGGGTAGAGTAGACAGGTGCCTGACTTAGAACGTCCTCAATTGCATACTCACACCCACAATCAAAAGGTTTTCGATGCTACAACTATGAAAGATTAGCAGATCTTACAATAAATCCAAACCCATTAAGAACTTTTTTTCCAGATGTCACGTGAAGAAACCCATCATGCAATACAACTTACAATGACATTTTCTCGCGAAATAGCAAGCAAAGGGGAAAAAGAGAGTAGATTTATGAGCTCAATAGTTCAATTCATATCATGTTAAATAAAAAGAGGTAAAGTTAACAAACAAATTAAACAAGCCATATACCTTTCGGCAACCAGGACTTGCGCCCTAAATTAGGCCCCCAGGTACTCCGGATGCTTGAGACAGCAGCCATAGCTGGCATTTGAGAACTGCGAGAGAACATAGGCCTAGCAGGTAGGGGCATAGGGCAACCATTTCGTATCATGGTCAAACACCTGATAAAATCATTATCACAGGAACAGGCATTCATTAATAAACACTGGAAGAAAAAATATTAATTAGAAAATAAAATAAAAATACTTATAAAAAATCAACAAGTAACGGCTCCAACATGTTATCATCATTTAAAGGATTTTAGTAATGGCATTGGTTTCCTTAAAAAAAAAAAAAAGATAGGGCATGTCCGTTTATCCAAAAATCTCTTGTGAAAATATATTTCTCATGATCTTCGAAGTCCTCAGATTTTGAATTTGCTAACTCAATATATAATATCTTCAATAGGAACAGTTATCATAATAGACAATCAACGATAAATTTTAAGGTCATAATATTGACAATCATATCATATAACTATTGAACGTATGGGCATCCTTTCCGATTTGTTCTCCACATGAAATGAAATATCGTCATATGCTAGCTTCCTAGTGAACTCTATCCTGGATTTTTCTCTTACCCTTAGGGTCAATGTGTAATTCTCTGCATTAGTTATAATCTCTGTTGTTGTCTTTGAAGCACTCAACAAACATGCAATTACGATGAAATAACTACAATTATTGACTCCAAAAATGTTTGTTCCATCATCAATCAAAAATTGACATGACATTAGGATCTCACTTACGTCATAAAGCACAACAATTCACGAAATTATGAAAAAAAGAACTCAAATAAAATGGAAAATATAAACAAAAAGAAACTGATAGAATCTGATTTCTGGAGGTGAATTAGAATTTCTATTGAAGAAAGTAACGCTAGAATATGAAAACATTCGTAGCTCCAATAGCATAAGAGAAAATAATCTACTAGCAAGGGTTGTGCAAGAATCTCACTCTTCCAAATCTAATAGCCAAGGAGAACCTCCAAAACACAATAAACATCAAAATGCTCGTCTACAACCTCCATAGATACAGCCCTATTCATAGTGGAGAAATAAACAATTAAGTAAATGAAAAAAAAATAAACTTCCAGGACTCCTAACAAGTAGGTAAGTGGTGTGAGCAGACCTAGTGCATGGGTAAATCTCATAAAACTCCTTCACCACCAACCCCTGCTCGCTCACTATCCACTTTCTCCATATTCAGTCACGTGGTAGTATATCAAAGACTTTACACGAACCAGGAAATAGATGGAGGAAAGCTTACCCGAATTTGAAGTGAGCGCCGCAATAACGATGACTGGGCGACGAAGATCCACGGCCACGCTGGGAAGGAAGACTGGAGAGGCAAAGAACGTTAATGGAAAACTGGAGAGGCAGGCAGTGGAGAATTTCTTCCGAATCTGCAGAATGGAGACGATGACAGGTGGTGGAGATCCAGGGCAAGGCCGAGTGAGACCCTGAGGCGAGATGGTCACGGCGGCAGCGGTGGGTACGAGAACGAGAACGAGTGAGGGCGGCTGAGGGGGTCCGTTCTGCGAGCCTGAAAAATTCTCGGATTAGAATTAGAATTAGAATGAACGGACGGTCAGTATCTGCCCAAACTAATATAGTTTCAATTTTTTCCAAAAAAAAAAAAAAAAAACACATCTAAACCGTCGCGAACGGGTTAGCGCAATACTACACTTGTAGCCTGTCCCACTCTTTTTGCTGTGGACCTAGTTTCGCCTCTCTTCGGCCCGGACCGGCCCATGTTGAAATGCTCGGCTAGGATCGGACTGGGCACCCCAGATCACTGTGTACAATGCACATCCCTTTTTAATTTATACGCGTTAGTATGGCAAAACTTACAACTAAAAATCCAAATAGTGAAACTTGACTAACATAATATAGTTGATAGTTGTGTGAAAAATATAATTATTGCATAAAGACTGGCTGCATCATTTGCTCTGATCTTTTTCAAAATTTTTAAGACAAAATCATCTCATCTCTATATGTAAGAAAATAATCATCTCTTCAACGAATTTATACTGCTGGTAAGTGATGTTTGCCTTCAAGCTTGTAGGAACCAGATTCAATAAAATTGCTAGCCTTGCAGCTTTGTGAAAGACTGCTTGTCCTTGTAAAATAAATGGGTGGTTAATTTATTTTCTTCTCTACCGGATGTGGATACTCTAAAATGCAAATCTGAATTCCATTGAGAATAAATAATTCATGTTGAATATCAAACGAATAACCTTGGGAAGATCAGCTACATAAAGAAATGATAAGCAATTATGACAACAGATAAACTAGAATGCAATTGTTGGCATCGCTCCAACGCCATGTGATGCCTCCATCGCAGTGAGAGGCCAGACCATGACACTGGTAAAGAATGAAGGAATCTCAAAGTGAGATTAATCTTTTCAACCAAGATCGTAAGTAGCACGATGGATATAGTTTCAATTTCATCAATTCTTTCTGTCCACATTTTTTAAATAGTTCCCTATCATATCTCTTTGTGGGCAAACAGAGATCATGTGGAGTACAATAGGAAGTACAATTTTTTTTTTTGGAGCAGTTGATTTTAATTTTTATATACAATATGAAAAGGTGAAGGCTTTTTTAATCTATTGTGGATCTGGAAACCGTATTCACGGAGATTCGTTGGAGCAATAGCTAAAACTGAGGAGTGATGAAGAGGAGCTACTTACATTCCTCTTCAATTAACGCAGAAACTTAGGCTTCTTTAGACGTTCTAAAAACGGCATCTGAGCTTGGACCTTGGAGTGAAAAGAGTTTAATGTGGAAACTGAATCTTTAGAAGCCGAGGATCAATCTCCTTTGCAGCGTTGGGACAGTAGATTTACGTCCTTAGAACGAGTTGATCTGTAAAGAGAGAGGAAGATTAGACATCCTTACGTGCAGCGAGAAGCAGATGATCTTGCCAAAGATTCACACCGGTATCTTCATGGGTTCCATCGTCTTTATCAGTTGCCTAATCTCAGGGAAGCTAATGCTTTTAGTAGTTCTAGTTCTCCCGAAGCCGGTGGTAACGCGTAAAGCAGTCAAGACTGCTAGTCCATGAATTATTTATAAGGGAAAAAAGTCAAACGAGCAATTCCAGTGGCCGCAAGAGCCATTCCAATTGAGGACAGTTACATTAGCGCTGCTGGTCCACTGGAAAACCACATCCTGAGAAGTGGGTTGAACTCAATATTGATGGTGCTATCTCGATCAGAGGGAGAAGAGCTGGACATGGTGGTGTGATTGGGATGCTTCGGCCAATTGGATTGTTGGCTTTTCATGTGTAATGGGAACCTGTGATGCTTATGTGGCCGAGGAGTAGTCTCTTCTTAGGACTCACGCAGAAATATCATTGTGGAGTCTGATTGCCAGCAGTTGCTGCATGAAATGATATTGTCTTTTCAAATGACAAGCAAGATGCTTCAATTGGTTCTATTGGTGCTTCTATTGGTTCATAGGGAAATTATTAGCCTGCCACAACGTCAATGAAAAGTATATCCGTCGCGAGGCTACGCAGGTTGCTGATTGTTGGGCAAAGTACGGAATTGACAGCATGGCTTTCTTTGATACGGTTCCTCCTCAGTTACAAAACATTGTGTTTAGAGACAGACTCGGGTTTGAATCCCCACCCTCTTAACTTATTTTTCGTATGGGCTTAGCCCTTCTATGTTTACCTAAAAAAAGTTAGGTGAGCGCAAGCGATATTCTTATGTTTAATTAGATGGGAAAAGACGGGGCTTCTCATTAATTTTTCCTATAATTTAGAATTATGACGCTGCACTGGTTTTAGTAAGTCAATATATCATGCCACTCAATTTCTGATGCATCACCAAGCAAGTAATTCCCTCTAAAAATGATCCATCCTGTCACGTATAACAAAATTACCTAATACACTAGCAACACCGCACTCAATCAAGGACATGACTAGCGTCCATCTCCAACCCTTGGGAGAAGTTAAATCAAATATACAAACTAACTATACCAAAGAACCTCTCCTCTGCTGTATGATCACCCAATCTTCAATCAGCGTCTTGAACGGTTCTTAAACCTGAAATGGCAGCAATTAGAACAAGTATTGATGCACATGGGACAGTGTCAAATTTCACAGCAAACCAAAGCCTTACCTGGGAGAGTTGGAAGGCGACCGAGACCTTGAGTGAGGGCGAGATTGAGACCTAGACCTGGAGCGAGAATGAGACCTAGAATAGTATCTTCTTGAACTTCTGCTTCTACTAGGACTTCTACTACGCCTGTATCTTCTGCAGTTAATCATAATATTAATACTTATACAATCAAACCAGAGTGGGAAAATTCAGGAAGACTTTCCAATGGAATGGCGATGTTAGCTATGGTAACTGTCAACATCTCCTCTACAACACTTTATCCCCAAGTAAGCAAACAAGAACTTAGCAAACTACCACCAACCTCAGTCAAATCAAAAGTATTAATTTAGACCTGGAAGTTAATTCTAGAGTACAAGCACATCAGCCACACTGGAACTAGCTACCTTGGGGGGGAACGGCTGTAGCTCCTACTGCGGCTCCTACTGTGGCTACGGCGTCTATACCGACTGAGCTGGCTAGTTTCAGCAAGTTTTTCCAGCCTCTGCCGCTCCTGTTCCCTCTTCTTAGCTAGTTCCGCAGCAGTATCTTTTTTAACTGCAAAAGCAATAATTTATACTTATATAAATGCCAAGAGGATCACACATGAAGACGGTGAAAGACACTGAAGGATTAATTAATGTATAACTAAAATCCATAATTTAAGCATACTTTGCTTGTTGAGTTGCCTGTTCATGATCCTTTTAAGTCTCTCTTGAGGAGTTTCTTTCTTCTCCCCTTGATGCTGCTTCATGGGTCCTCCAGATGCACTTGCCTTACTTAGCTTTGCTAGTCCTGAGGACGTACTGTAGACAAAGGATAACTACTTTTAGAAGCAACAATTAAGGTCCTCACATTTCACATACATACGGAGTGAATGTAAATCATCAATAAAAATGAAAAACGACTGATATTGTTATTCTAAATATTTTGGCATACTTGACAGATGGTTTTAACACTTTGGTGCCCATATCCTTATCAATAGATACACCAGAAGCAGGATCCACATGCAAAGCCTCAAGTATGCGACCAGATGATGGCCTGCAAGAAGGCAAAGGAGTCAGAGAAAACCACAGCAATTTTTCCATGCAACGCAGGAAGTTATGTAAAACTTATTTTGCCAAAAAAAAAAAATAAAGTCAGCTTCAAAAGGGAAGCCTCTTCCCTCCTCCTCTCTGCAGTTACCCTGACCATCCTAGTCCTGATCTATTCTAAACCACAAAACAAATTGCCTCAGGCAACAATGTGGGTGATATGCTGCAGCAGAGAAAAGACTGTCCAATCTATCTTGGCAAGAATTAAAGGTCCAGTGCTCCGACCGGTTTAACTTATCAGCAAGGGATGGAGATGGTGGTGGGGAAAATCTCTCAAGCTTGGGTTCATCTGCTTCTCCAGAGCCCCCAAATTCAGTGATATATTCTATTTTAGGAGTCCGTGATTTGCTTCGGTAGACATCATCAGGATACCCACTACGAGAATAACGCCTTGAGTGTGATGGAGAGTAGGACCGTGATCTGGATCTTGACCTTTAAAAGGAAAAAACTTAACTTCATCAAAGGAGATATCAATACATATAAAATCTTCAACAGAAACCAGAAAAAGCAGGGCTTTACCTTCTAGAACGAGAATAAGCTTCATAAGTAGGACTTCGTCTTGGTTCCCTAGAGGTAATTAGGCACATCATTAGCACATATTTTTTTTTTTAAATCAGACAGTCATCCCATTTTTAGTAGGAAGCAGAGTGTCATTTTTATTCACTCAATAGTCAATCTAACATATAATCTCAGCAGTCTCTACCGGTAGGGATCATGATGCAGCACACGAGTTCCAGAAATCCGAGCAGCTTCTCTCTCTCTTTCCCTTTCAATCTGAGAAGCTTTCCTCCTTTCCTTACGACTCAATTTCCTCTACAAAATTTTGCAACATATTTTCAGAAACATCTACCAAAAGCATCATGAAATATGAATGAAAGTCCTGCTTGATCTCTCAACTTACAATTGAAGGATCTCCTTTGATCACCTCTTTTTGCCTTTTTTCTTCCTCCTTAGCTTTCTTATCCATATAAACAAGCCATCCATACCTCTTAACCCCATATTCTTTTGCTATCATTTCCAATCCTTCATCATTGCTATCATCACTATTGAAGTCCTCTTCATCTTCCTCATCTTCATCTTCAGCATTATCATCATCATCTGAAATTTGGGATTCTTCTTTTCCATTCCCATCATAAGAAAATCCCACCTGCGAGTAAGAACCTTTGCTAGCAGCAGGCTGTGACAAGTGAGACCTACAATTGTGCAATAAATAAAAGGACCATCAGATGAATCTTCAAGAGATGACCCCATAAAACATCATAAGAAGTTGAAGAACATAGCTCTCAACATACACTAAAATCAACTATTTGCTACACCAGTAATATCTATATATTTATGACCTAAAGCAACAAAAATTATACAGCTTAATTCAAACAATACTTCAGAGGGGAAAACAGAATATAACTTAACATTGTAAATGGAAAAATCAACTGAAATCTCAAACAAACTGAAACATTGATGGCTTCGACCAACGTTGCTGCACTGCACCCTAAAGAATTAAGCATCACAATGGTATATGTCCACAGCTATATTTAAAAGAGATGACTCCAAATCCTTGTCCAGAATTACTGATTTCAATCAGTTTGAGGAGAATGGAACGCACACTATCTTAAAAATTATGAGAGTTAAAAAATTAATCTTCTCCAGAATAACAAGGCAGTGTTAAATAAATAGTCCGTGCAGACTAAATGCATTTTTCTGATAAAGAAACAAAATACTGCCAGCAGGCATTGCTCGATTTCAAATTTCCAAGAAGTAGACTTAAACCTAAGAAATGTTTGCCCATGCCTACCAATAGCACTACCGCCTCTCCACCAACAAATAATCGGATACATGCAGAACACATCTGCTAAATGTAGTCAGCATTGAAATAACTTAAAAGTCATACAAATTTTGAATTCTTGATATGCTAAATTTATTCACAATTAATTCCACCCAACAAGTAAAAAGTATTGGTCCCGTCAGGTATACCATTATTTATATGGCCTTATGAAAAGTAAGATAACAACAAAGAAATCTCATCTAACCTATCTGATGCAAATGGAGCTGCTGCTTTGGCCTCCATCTCTTGATTTACATGTAGCAAAGCCTCCTCATCAATAACTGTTAATGTAAAAGCTTTGTTTGTTAAATCAACTTCCAATTATATGGTGCAGCAGTCATATTGACTTCGAAACTAAAGAAACTTCTGTCTTGCATTGCTTTATCATTAATTCACAAAGTGTGAGTAATAAGAAAAAGGATGGAGGAATGAAAGAGGTAAATGAATAGTCAAAGCTTTTCAGACTCAAAACACTTTTTGTCAAGAAATAAAAAAGTACCGACATCCTCTATGCCGATGCTTTATTAAATCCCGATAACGCTCAAAATTAACAAACTCTTCTAATTCTTCTTCTTCTTCTGACTTTTCCTGCACACGCCTAGATCCAGTATCCCGAATGAAATCAAGGAGAGCACGGCCATCAAATCTGATCAAACAAAGGAATGCAGTCAGTTCTACAATATCAATTAAAAAGTTACAAAATACAAATCTTACTGCTCCAACAATCGAGGATAGTAGAGAAAACCTTGCACCTGTCAATCAAAATATCCTGTTTCCCATTCCATGGAATCCTGAGACAGAAATTATTCATTAGCTATTCATAAATAAA